TTGGTGGGAAAGAAGCAGCCTTTGTGATTGGTGGATTCAAATTTAGCAGCTCCAGGCTGTTTGACTGACCTAGACACACAATGGCCAAACTCTTAAAAGCGCCAGTGTGTGTGTGTGTGTTTCGATGACGCAAATTTCGGATGATAACACCTACTTCTTTCTGGCAGAAATCATCATGCCCCTCCCATGTAATACCTGTAATCGAGAGTATAGAGTATGTCTGGGGAGTGTGAATGGGTGTATAGTGTTCATTTCTGTTTTTTCTCCATGTTGGGCGAGTGCTGAGTATTTGTATTTCTGTTAATAAGGGTGGGAATGTATGCTTTTGTCTGTGTGTGCCAGTTTGTCTATATCTATGAGTCAGGTCGAGTCCCCACCTCCGCCTAACTTGGAATATCTAGCCTACCTTCACCCACCTCACTACCTGCTGGTGGCCGATGCCCTCAGTCGTCGGTGAGTTGGTGGTTCTCTGCGTTCAGGGCTGAGCACTCGGGTGTTTATCCAGCTCACTCCTGATGGCTGCTTGGTGGGGCATGGCGCCTGTGGCCAGATCGGGCCCCTTCCGATGAGGTGGTGTTGCCTTGGGTCTCTGTGGCTCGGTCCACTCTGGTGCGACTTGCTACCGGCGGGCCCTGTGGGCTCGTCACTGCGGCCCTCTGTGGCTTCTGCACCGTGGTGCTGGGTGACCCCACATCTGCGGCTTTCCTCAGCTCTTTCAGGGAGGGTGGTGCGGTTGCCTCTCTGGTGGTCCTCCATTTGCACTGTGGATGTCCAGCCCTGGGTCTCCTCTGCGCCCGCTTCATGCTCTTGGGGGGTAGGGCTATGGCTCCCCAAACCCTCAAGCAGATCTTTGCATGGAGAAACCTTTTGAACTCAAGAGCGCTCATGTGCACAGTTGTACACAAGGGTGCTCACATACACTACAGTAGGTACCAAAAGTATTCAGATTTTCACTCTTTGTTATATTGCAGCCATTTGCTAAAATCATTTAAGTTCATTTTTTCCTCAATGTACACACAGCAACCCATAGTGACTGAAAAACACAGAATTGTTGACATTTCTCTAGATTTGTTAAAAAAGGAAAAACTTAAATATCACATTGTCCTAAGTATTCAGACCCTTTGCTGTAACACTCATATATTTGACTCAGGTGCTGTCCATTTCTTCTGATCATCCTTGAGATGGTTCTGCACCTTCATTTGAGTCCAGCTGTGTTTGATTATAACCAACTGGTGTGGTTTTCCATAATGTTTAGTGAAAGAAGAGATCATGTCAGAATTTGCTTGTCTCATGTTAGCATTGTCATGATGGTACTGAATGTAAAATAGAACACATGACTCACAAACAGGGAAATAAACACAAACAGGAAGCTTTATTTTTGTGGCAAAAAATACTTTCAACTGCAGAAAAAATTAGAATCGTTTTTTTAAGGAGGCGTTCACGGAGCCATATCTTGACAAACACACACACACACACAGTTGCTCTTTGTTCACATATATGCTTGTTTAAGATATCACATGTTAATGAGACTATGCATATTCATGTGTGTAAATAATAAAAGCAGCCTGCAGGGGGAAGCAAGTTGAAGTGAGTTGGAGACAACTGCTTCCCTCTCGTGAGTGAAAACTTGAGCTCTGTGTGACCTCGTTTCTGAGTGAGTTTCTGTTTATCCAGCAGTATCAGGGGTAAAACTCTGACAGGGGCGACATGGGCGGTTGCCCAGGGTGGCAGCGGCATCACGGGCATCTCCCAAAAAAAAGTTGCTCGTACTCATACTGCCCAATCATCAGCCAGTGCATTTTGGAGATGGCATAGGCACCGATCAGTTTTCTGCCGTCCATTTTCTGCGAGTAAAGGTACCCTCTGTTTGCAAGGTGCACCTGCTGCTTGCGGCACAGAGAAGAGAGGGCGGGGCTGCGGGGGATTCTCTGGCTGGCTGGAGCAGCATCTAATAACCAACTTGCAAACTAAAACAAAATAAAAACAATCCAACAAACACGAAAACACCAGACATTGTGATACAGACTTATAATTTGCACCGATGTTTTTTCGAAATTCTATAAAGTGAGCGTGAGAGCCCTCGGTGTGCCTGCTTGCTGCTATGCTGAAGTCAAATTAAACTTTATTGTCATCTCCGCGATATACAGTACAGTATATAGAGAGACGAGACGACGAGGCTCCAATTACAGCACTGCAAGTAAACAAACAATAAAAATAAGAAAAGTAAGAAAATACATATACACTTTAGGACTAGTGGTAAAGGGATTAATGACAATTTAAAATTTTACAGTTTGATGATTTAAAGTCTCACACAACCTGTCGACAGAGGAGGGGGCCCTGCTGCTTCCAAATAGGGCACATTTCAATCATGATGTCGTAAATCCAATCCCATTATGTATTCATGATTTGAATCCTGGGTTGTGTGACATCCCAGAGAATGACTCGGCCTCTGTGTGGAAAGGTTTTAGGAATATCACCAACTACAAGCCTAAAACCCCCCACTCCACTGATGACTTGCTCTTGGCCAACACCCTCAACGACTTTTACTGCCGTTTTGACGAGCCATCAGGCAGCCTTCACACCTCCAACGGCCCCAACAATAGAGACACTTTGGACACTCATTCCCCCACCTCTCCCCCCTCCATAGAGCCATCACCACCTTCAAACACTTCACCTACAACACCCCCCTCCTCACCCCACACAAAAGAGGATTTCACACCACCTCCTCCCACCACAACTCTTCATATTCATGAAGCAGGTGTGAGGAAGCAGTTTAAGAGTCTGAATGCTCGAAAAGCTCCCGGCCCAGACGGTGTGTCTCCTGCCACCCTCAGACACTGTGCAAACGAGCTGGCCCCAGTGTTTTCTGGCATTTTCAACTCCTCACTGCAGGCATGTCATGTGCCTGCCTGCTTCAAGTCCTCTATCATAATCCCTGTCCCCAAGAAACCTAGGATCACTGGACTAAATGACTACAGACCCGTGGCTCTGACATCTGTGGTCATGAAGTCATTTGAGCGCCTGGTTCTCTCCTACCTCAAGACCCTCACGGCCCCCCTCCTGGACCCCCTGCAATTTGCATACAGAGCCAACAGGTATGTAGATGACGCCATCAACATGGCTCTACACTTCATCCTGCAGCATCTGGACTCCCCAGGAACCTACGCCAGGATCCTGTTTCAGCTCTGCCTTCAACACCATCCTTCCAGACCATCTCCAAGGCAAGCTTTCCCAGATGAATGTGCCTGACCCCATCTGCCGGTGGATCACTGACTTCCTGACGGACAGGAAGCAGCAAGTGAGGCTGGGAAAGAATGTCTCGGACTCCCGGACCATCAGCACCGGCTCCCCTCAGGGCTGTGTTCTTTCTCCTCTGCTCTTCTCCCTGTATACTAACTGCTGCACCTCCACCCACCAGTCTGTCAAGCTAATCAAGTTTGCAGATGACACCACCGTTATTGGACTCATCTCGGACGGGGATGAGTCTGCCTACAGGAGGGAGGTTGAACGTCTGGTGTCCTGGTGCAGCCACAACAACCTGGTGCTGAATGCCCAGAAGACAGTGGAGATTATTGTGGACTTCAGGAAGCACACAGCCCCACTCCCCACCATCATCCTGACTGACACCCCCATCTGTGGACTCATTCCGCTTCCTGGGTACCAACATCACCCAGGACCTGAAGTGGGAGCCCACCATCACCTCCGTCATCAAGAAAGCCCAGCAGAGGATGTACTTCCTGAGGCAGCTGAAGAAATTCAACCTGCCAACACGGACGATGATGCAGTTCTACACTGCAATCATCGAGTCCATCCTCACCTCCTCCATCACCGTGTGGTACGCTGGAGCCACTATCAGGGACAAACAGAGACTGCAGCGTGTTGTGCGCTCTGCTGAGAAGGTGATTGGCTGCAGACTCCCATCTCTGCAGGACCTGTACACCTCCAGGACATTGGGGCGTGCAGCTCGGATCTCAGCTGACCCTTCTCACCCTGGACACAGTCTGTTTGACCTGCTCCCCTCAGGCAGGAGGCTCCGGTCCATCCGCACCAGAACCTCTCGCCATAAGAACAGTTTCTTCCCCTCTGCTGTTGGACACATGAACAGTAACCGTATGACTGTTCCCACCACTAACACATGACCCTACGCTGTGTTCACTGCATCATTCCATGTTTGGCACTGATCACCACCTGCACTCATGTATATATCATGTATCTATCTATCTACTTAGCACTTTTAATTCTTATTTTTATTTTCATGTCTATTTAAGCGTAATTTATGACAGTATGTTTGCACTGAAGCACTGCAGCAATTTCCTAATGTTGCAAACCTGCTCAACATTTGGCAATAAAACCCTTTCTGATTCTGATTCAGAAATTAACCCTAGACAAAGTGAATCTGTGAACTAAGGTGTAGGTCTATTAAGTTATGTTGTGGTGATCCTCGAGTTGGAGGATGGGTGTTCATATTGGAGTACAAAAGTAAAACCAATGGAAGATGGACAAGAAAAGTTCAAAGCCATCAGGTCCTAAGTTTAGGAAAAAAGATTAAAGAAGAGGAGGAGAAACGAGCAAAAGAGACAAGTAAGCAGACTTGTCATTGGAAAATAGCAGGTCATGAATCCTGAAACAATCAGAATACTTTATTAATCCTTAAGGAAATTATATGGATTACAGTTATTCCAAGAGAAATTCTAATAATAGCAACAGTGACAGACTAAACTCCAAACAACACATTCTGTTACAGATTTTACACATTTAGGAAATAGCACTAATATATAAAGATCAATCAATTATAAATATCAAGGATTAAAAGAGTGGATAATAAATAAATATCAAGAAAATTGACAAGAATATTACAGAGTAGAAAAGGGCTTATGTAAAAAGGATGTAACTATTGCATATATATACACACACACACATATATATATATGTATAGATATATATATATATATATATATATATATATATATATATATATATATATATGTATAGATATATATAATTAATATTAATTAACTCCAGTGTGGATTAGTTGATGATTTTTGAATGCATCCATGCAACCAAAACCCTTTCCACACTGACAACAGACAAATGGTTTAATGCCAGTGTGGATGGCCTGATGTTCTTTCAAGGAACTCATGCAGCTAAAAGACTTTCCACACTGATCACAGGTGAATGGTTTAACTCCAATGTGGAGGAGCTGATGTTTTCTTAAGTTTCTACGCCGATTAAAAGATTTTCCACACTGATCACAGCTGAATGGTTTGATTCCAGTGTGGATGAGCTGATGTTCTTTTAAAGTTTTACTCTGAGTAAAAGCCTTTCCACACTGACCACAGACAAATGATTTAATTCCAGTGTGGATGAGAAGATGATCTTTTAAGCTTTTGCTGTGAGTAAAAGACTTTCCACACAGATCACAGGTGAATGGTTTATCTGTAGTATGGATGAGCTGATGTTCTTTTAACCAGTTACCATGAGCAAAAAACTTTCCACACAGATCACAGCTAAATGGTTTTAATCCAGTGTGGATGAGTTGATGTTTTTTTAAGTTGCCATTTTCAGTAAAAGACTTTCCACACTGATCACAGCTAAATGGTTTTAATCCAGTGTGTATGAGTTGATGTTTTTTTAAGCTGCTATTCTGAGTGAAAGTCCTTCCACACTGATCGCAGCTGAATGGTTTAATGCCAGTGTGGATGAGCTGATGTTGTTTTAACTTGCCATTCTCAGTGAAACACTTTCCACACTGAGCACAGAGGAATGGTTTATCTGCAGCATGGACGAGGTGATGTTCTTTTAAGCCATTACTCGGAGAAAAAGACTTTCCACACTGATCACAGCTAAATGCTTTTAATCCAGTGTGGATGAGCTGATGTTGTTTTAAGTTGCCATTTTCAGTAAAAGTCTTTCCACACTGATCACAGCTAAATGCTTTTAATCCAGTGTGGATGAGCTTATGTCTTTTTAAATGTCCATTTTCAGTAAAAGCCTTTCCACACTGATCACAGCTAAATGCTTTTAATCCAGTGTGGATGAGCTGATGTTTTTTTAAGCTGCCACTCTGAGTGAAAGTCTTTCCACACTGATCACAGCTGAATGGTTTAAATCCAGTGTGAGCGAGCTGATGTTTTTTTAAGCTGCCATTCTGAGTAAAAGCCATTCCACACTGATCACAGCTAAATGCTTTTAATCCAGTGTGAATGAGCAGATGTTTTTTTAAGCTGCCACTCTGAGTGAAAGTCTTTCCACACTGATCACAGCTGAATGGTTTAATGCCAGTGTGGACGAGCTGATGTCTTTTTAAGTTGCTATTCACAGTGAAAGTCTTTCCACACTGATCACAGCTGAATGGTTTTAATCCAGTGTGGAGAAGCTGGTGTTTTTTTAACTTGCTATTTTGGTTGAAAGCCTGTCCACACTGATCACAGCTGAATGGTTTAATACCAGTGTGGACGAGCTGATGTCTTTTTAAGTTGCTATTGTCAGAAAAAGTCTTTCCACACTGATCACAGCTGAATGGTTTAATGCCAGTGTGGAGAAGCTGGTGTTGTTTTAAGCTGCTATTATGAGTAAAAGCCTTTCCACACTGATTGCACATGAAGCTTCTGTCTCCACTGTCAATGCGCTGGCGTCTTCTGGCCTTCTTCATAGTGATGAAAGTCTTCTCCACAGGGATCACAAGTCGTTCATCTGTACTTGCTGGTATTGGTTGGTTTTTGTTGAGGTCATAAATTTGGAGAGGTTTCAGCACACTTCCCCTTCTTTTGCCTATGATGACAAAGAACTAAAACAGTGACATGCACTTCACAAAACCTATTTAGTGTACATATACATACATATATCTATACATACATACATACATACATACAAAACACACACACACCTAGTGTGAAAATTAGTAATTAATACAAGGGATGGCTATTTTAAAGAATCTATAATTTTAAGAATCTAAAATCTGAATATGTTTTGAGTTACTTAACATTTTTTTGTCTCCTAATTCCATATGTGTTCATTTGGAGTTTTAAAGATTTCAATTAGAATCTATAATGTAAAAAGTCATTATAATACAGAAAATGTTACATTTTTGTGATTTATATTGTTATCATGATAGATGTCTTATATCGGGATATGAGATTTTGGTCATATCGCACAGCCCTATGAGAAGGTGTGTCCAAACATTAGACCGGTGGCTTAGTCAGCCTGGCTACAGAGCTGTTCCTGTTTTCCTCATTTACTAAGATTTCATAACTTTACAGAGAGCTTTTTCTTGTCCAGGTCAAAAGAAGCATGAATTAGTCTTCAGTGTAGGTGTACTTAGGGCTGCTCAATTATGGCAAAAATGATAATCACGATTATTTTCACAGAAATTGAGATTGCGATTATTTGACGATATTTATTTAACCCTTTAAGACCTACTATACAACCAAGTCCACCAGAGTTTATATTATTTTTTTTACATGCTGTAGTGCCATTTGTTGGAGTATTTCAAGTTGCTATACAACTGTTATAGCCCATATTTTAATAATATGTATGCATTAAGTCCATAGTAACTACATTAATTGCAAAAAGTGCAATAAACTACAAAAAAATTGAAAATCGTTTTTGTTTTTTTACATATATTCTACTTGGAGAAATTTAAGAGGTTTATCCCTCAAAACTTTAAATACAAAAAAGTTGCAAAAAATAGTTTACAACAACAGGAAATTTATTTTGAGTGTCTTCATAGTTTTATTTTGGAGATACACCAATTTTTATATACTGCAGGAAAAACAAAAAAAAAATCCTATGATGCAAATTTGCAAAGAAAACAGCATGTGCCTCATTTCACTGTGGGAAGTGTTACGAACAGCTGTTTCTGGAATATTATTTTTTGTTCCTGCAAGAGCTTTTTATGCAGTTTTTGCAAAGCTTTATGTGGAAGGAAACCCTGACCGAGGACAAGCTGATGGCATCAGATGTAAGTACAACTCCTCCGGTTTCATATGCAAAACAAATTATTGCGCTAGCTTACACGGTTCAGGTTCTACAGGGATTTAAAAATAGTTACACAAAACGGAGCGTGCTGCTCTGACCGGCTTTAAAGGGTTAACAATGACTTTAAAAATAATATAAAATAGTGTGCAACACCACTGAAGTTTTTTTTTTAACTTCTCTTTTCAAACAACAGCAGTCACTCTCCAAATAACTTCTGCTTAGCTTTCCGAGCTTCCCTCGGGTCCTCTTAATCAGCGGTCTCCAACCTTTTTTGCACCACGGACCGGTTTATGCCCGACAATATTTTCACGGACCGGCCTTTAAGGTGTCGCGGATAAACGAGGGAGGGGCTAATAATCGGCTCAGTCATTTTTAATGATCGTTGCCCAGATCGTAATCGTGATTAAAATTCGATTAATTGAGCAGCCCTAGGTGTACTTATAAGTTCTTCCAGGGAGTCAAACTTCTCTGGTTTGTTGCCTTCATTTTCAGAGCAGCCAAAGTGTGCAGAGGATGTAATACTATTTACAAAATACACTATCAGAGGGAATAAAGCACAACTGTGTATCAGCTGTGAAAAATGTATCATGTGCAACACTAGAACATATTAATAGATACTTTATTATACAACATGTAGAGTGTGTAAAGGTTACAAAAAATCCAGGACCAAAAACTGATCCTTGAGAAGCTTATTTTCGGGAGGGTTAAAAACGGCTAATTTCATCCATCCATTGATTTAATGTAAGCAGGTTGAGAACATTATTTTTCTTCAGCAGTGATTTGTCTCTCATTTGGGATAAACAAGCAAAATGTCACTGTGTACAGAATTAGATGTTATTATTATTAAAATAACAACCAATTAATGTCTGTAGAATAATGTTGGCGATTTTTCTTTGTCACCTTCGATGAAGAACCAATGTTTCTGACTACAGGTGCTGAGATGCTCCTCCTGCAGACTCTTCGCCTGCTGCCAGTCACCTGTGACAGCAAAAAGATTTTTATATTTAAGCCAGTTAAATTTATTGTATTATTGTAGGGCACTACTGCAGACCATTGTATTGTGTAGCATTATTTTGCCTCGTAGGTTCAGCACCAACATCAGAATCAGAAAAACCTTATTAATCCCAGAGGAAAACTAAGTTGTCATAGCAGGAAATATACAACAAACAACATGCACTCACTGAGTGCAGAAACAGAGTTATGATGGATAAATATTATATAAAAAGAGAAATATAGAGATATCGCAGGAACAAAAAGAAATTTGGGGGGGGGGGGGGGGGGGGGGGGGGGGGGGTGTTTACGAAGACAGCTGCTACGACAGCCTGCCGCTAGATCAGCGCCATCTTAAAAGACACATTACTGGTTGGTGATTCTTTTATTAAATGTTGAGTCTGTTGTATTCTATCCACCTCATCAAATCATAATACTCAGTACAACATCTTCATTTGAAGGAAAACAAATAGCTGAACACAAATGATTAAAAATATAAGGTCCTAAACTGCTGGAAGCTCCAAGCAGACAAAATGACAGGGGCTGAACAGAACGTACAGCCGTAAACAAAATTAGCTAAGAGAGAGAAACCCTGTAGACAGTTATTGATTTAGTAAGCTATATAATTATAATGTACTCACTCTGGATCTCCTCTCAGAATAACCCGAACTAAAGATCCCCCAGCGGAGGAGGCCGGCTTTGTAGTTGGACTAGGAGAGAGACCAAGCTGTCCGAGCTACGAGACCCTATATCTTTCCAATCACGTATGAGAAACATAAACGTGATCTGCCGGAGACCAGAAGGGCAGCAGTAAGAAAGCTCAGCACAGTCACACTATATTTGTCACACCACAAAAGTCTCCGTCGTAGATAACAAGTATGATGACTGTGGCAATAATCATTACTCGGTAAGTCTACTTTCCGCTGTGTGCACGCGCAGTACTTCGTCTTCTTCTTTGTGGTTTGTCGGCGGTTGGCAATAACGACTCATTACCGCCACCAACTGGCAGTGATGTGTCCTGTGTGTCAAAGCTTCGAAGCGTGTGTCGGCTAATCTTGGGGGAGTTTTTGTAAAGCGCGTATCGAGGCTTTCTTTGATTACGTATGCAGTGACGTTCAAGGCCTCGCGGGCAGCCCGTACCATGTGACTGATTCAGGAACTGGCTCGCCGGTTCGCGCCAGATTCGAAATAAAATTGGCATCAAAACACAGCTGATTTCCCCCATCACATTGTGTTGTGGAATTAGATTACGTACGTGCTACATAGATACTTGAGCATTTCATCGTTGATAAAACCAGCAAGGTAGAGATTTTTTTAATCTCCTCTCTCCTTATCTCATCTGTTCTTATAAAGTATGCACACAGTAATACATATCCCAAATGATAAGTACCATAATATGAATAAACAACACTACAGATCCTATAATCTCATTTCTGTCTTTTAGTTTATTAAAAAGTGAAGCGCCACACGCTAGTTTGTCTCATTATCCAGAAGTACATAAGCATAATTATGCAGTTACACAATCATACCAAAACTCTGTCCTGATAGTTTCAATCAATCAATCAATCAATCAATCTTTATTTATAAAGCACTTTTCATACAGAAAAAATGTAGCACAAAGTGCTTTACATAGTTAAAAGCAGCCCACCCCACCCTCCAACTCACTCCCCACACTCTCAATACACATATATCCCCCCACCCCCACCCCCACCCACACACACATACACACACGCGCACACTTAAAGAGTAAAAATTGGGCTGGGCTCGCATGAGCCAAGTGAGGAAACATTATAACAGGGAGCCGTCTGCACCGGGAGCCGGTCACAGACCGCAGCCTCCGGGCTGGGCACACAGCAGGAGGGAGGCCAAGGAGCCCCCCAACCAGGCTGAGAGGACCCCAGAGACCCAGCAGCCACGGTCAATAACAGCCCCGGTGCAGAGAGCGCCCTCCGAGGAAACACTGGAGATATGACGCAATACGATATATACAGGGTAAAATGATAAAATAAATAAGAACAGGATAAAATATAAATATAAATAGAGTAAGAAGATTAAAAAATGAATAAGAATCAAATCAATAAATATTAGGTAAATCCTAAATTAATAATAGAATAACAGGATAGAATAAATAAGCATAAAAAATAAATAAACGCTAAGTAAAAGCTAAATTAAAAAGGTGGGTCTTGAGCCTGTTCTTAAAAACATGTACGTTCTCTGCGGCCCTGAGCTCCTCCAGCAGGCTGTTCCACAGACGAGGACCATACCACTGAAAAGCTGCCTCTCCGTGAGTATGTGTCCTGACTTTAGGGACAATCAAAAGGCCAGTACCAGAGGACCTCAGGGTCCGCGAGGGTTCGTATGGTAAAAGCAGATCTGAGAGATAAGAAGGCCCAAGACCATTAAGACATTTAAAAACCAATAAAAGAACTTTAAAATCGATCCTGAAACACACGGGGAGCCAGTGCAGCGATTCTAAAACCGGTGTAATGTGGGCCCGCCCTCTCGTCTTCGTCAGCACACGAGCTGCCGAGTTTTGCAAGAGTTGTAAATTTGAAATATTCTTCTTAGGAAGACCAGAGAGCAGGGCATTACAGTAATCAATGCGACTGGTAATAAAAGCATGCATCAGCATCTCCGTGTTGGCCCGAGAGAGAATAGGGCGGACTCTGGCTATATTTTTTAGATGATAAAATCCAATTTTGGTTACATGTTTAACATGTGGGATAAAACCAAGCTCAGAGTCAAAAATAACACCCAGGTTTTTCACTTGTAGCGAAGGACATAGTGAAAATGCCTCTAATTTAGACAAGAGTTTCTCTCTCTGAGCCTCAGGACCGACAATTAAAACTTCAGTTTTGTCCTGGTTAAGCTGTAAAAAGTTTTCTGCCATCCAAGATCTTACATCCAAGATACAGTTAAAAAGGGCATCCATTGGTCTGGTGTCATCAGGAGACACGGAGATGTACAGCTACGTGTCATCAGCGTAACTGTGGAAGTTCACTTCATGCCTCCTGATGACACTGCCAAGAGGCAGCATATACAATATATATATATATATATATATATATACTAATATATATATATATATATATATATATATATATATATTAGGGGTGCGACGATACACAAAATTCACGGTTCGGTTCGATACTTTGGTGTCACGGTTCAATATTTTTTCGATACAAAAAAAAATGTTCATTCCTTTTTAATTTGTCATTTATTAAAATTATAAATATATATTTTAACTCAAAAGTACAGTTTTTAAATTTAACCCTAACCCTTGTGCGTGTTTTTTATTTTGACAGCGAATGCGCACCTGCGGACCACTTATGTGCAGCCCTGGTTATTTAGCTCGTCATATTGCAGCCACAGAAATTATTTTGTCCATGAAACCATAAAGCTGCACTTTCTTTTTTCCTTATACTCTGATTTGTCATAACTTCTCCGTTTTGTGGTAAGCTTTTCTTTGGCTGTCACTTCTTCACCCTGACCTGTCTTATTTGGCTCAGCAGAACTAAAATATAAATCCTGCTGCTTTTACACATGCACTCACATAACGGTCAGCGATTCTCTGCGCGATCAACCTCTCACATGTTTAAGCTTGCTGCGGGAGATTTTACTTGTCATGTTTGCATAGTAAGCTAACGATTAATAAGACGATGTCAGAGGAATTGGTGCACAAATTATCATCACTCACAGATCAGTGCTGTCGCTCTCTATACACAGTTCGCACGATTGCAAAGTGAAAGCAAAAAAACAAGCGCAAATTCAAAAGCGATTTTTTTAAATGTATATATATATATATATATATATATATATACATTAAAAAAAAAAAAACACCCAGCATGCCCCTGCGGGCGGTTTATCCTTCAAGCTCGGGTCCTCTACCAGAGGCCTGGGAGCTTGAGGGTCCTGCGCAGTATCTTAGCTGTTCCCAGGACTGCGCTCTTCTGGACAGAGATCTCCAATGTTGTTCCCGGGATCTGCTGGAGCCACTCGCCTAGCTTGGGAGTCACCGCACCTAGTGCTCCGATTACCACGGGGACCACCGTTACCTTCACCCTCCACATCCTCTCGAGCTCTTCTCTGAGCCCTTGGTATTTCTCCAGCTTCTCGTGTTCCTTCTTCCTGATATTGCTGTCATTCGGAACCGCTACATCGATCACTACGGCCGTCTTCTTCTGTTTGTCTACCACCACTATGTCCGGTTGGTTAGCCACCACCATTTTGTCCGTCTGTATCTGGAAGTCCCACAGGATCTTAGCTCGGTCATTCTCCACCACCCTTGGGGGCATCTCCCATTTTGACCTCGGGACTTCCAGGTTATACTCGGCACAGATGTTCCTGTACACTATGCCGGCCACTTGGTTATGGCGTTCCATGTATGCCTTGCCTGCTAGCATTTTGCACCCTGCTGTTATGTGCTGGATTGTCTCTGGGGTGAAGCTCGCACACAAGAATTTCACTCACATGTGCTGTACCAATGTACCTGCACATGTGATGTGACAATAAAAGTGTGTTAGATTTGTGTTCTCATGAGTAAATATATTAATTTATTTTATGTTGTGAAAGAAGTTTTCTGATTGTCATTTTATTTTGAAAAGGATTTTATTTTGGTGATTATAGATTACTTCACTTCCTGTTCCTATTGTTCCGAAGCGCGAACTGCTGAAGTAATGTATGGTTTTCCCCTCCTGTGTTGTTAACAATAAAAGAAACGGGAAAAGTAATCAACCACCAAGTGTATGCATTATTAAGAGAACATGGCCGAAGAAGAAGAAAACTCTTCGAGCTCAACAGGTTATGGGCCCAGGCGTGACACAACAGGAGGAAGATGGCAGAGGTTAGTGTTCAACGGAGACGAAAACAGTTACGAACTTTGGGAGGCAAAGTTTCTCGGCCACATGCGGATCATTGGTCTAAAGGACACTATATTATCAGCCACTAACCCAGATGCAGAGAAGAACGCTGAATGCTACGCTGAACTGATACAGTTTCTTGATGATAAAAGCCTTTCACTGGTAATGAGAGATGCGACTGACGACGGAAGAAAAGCTTTAAAAATACTACGTGACCACTACGATAGTAAAGGCAAGCCCAGAATCATCGCACTGTACACAGAGCTGACGTCTTTACAGAAGAAACCAGATGAGACAGTGACAGATTATATTATCCGGGCTGAAAAAGCAGTGACCTCCCTAAGAAATGCAAAAGAAGTCATCAGTGATGGACTTATTATCGCTATGATTCTAAAGGGGCTTCCTGAAGCTTACAAGCCATTTGCTATTCACACAACTCAAAGCAGTGAAGATTTAACATTCACACAGTTCAAAAGCAACCTACGAAGTTATGAGGAAACCGAGAAATTCGACAACAAAGTAAAAGCGGATAATGTGATGAAGGTTGATTTAACATCAATCACCTGCCATGGATGCGGAAACCGAGGACATTTTGTAAAAGATTGTCGCCAAAAGGGAACACCTAAGTGGTGTAGCTACCATAGAAGCTCGACACACAGTGATGAGACATGTAGAAGAAAAACCAAATACAGAGATGACGCAAAACTAACTGTAGTATAACTAGAGAGCAAGAAAGAAGAGCAGACTTTTGTATTTAAAGTTAGTCAAAGACTTCTGCCTACTGACATAATAAGAGAAGGACTAATGGTGGACTGTGGTGCTACTTCACACATCATTACAGAGAAGAACAAGTTCATAAAGTTTGATGAGACTTTTGATCCTGAGAAACACTACATGGAGCTCGCTGATGGATCCAGGACAAACAACGTCGCACTCAAGAGGGGAGATGCCAACGTCTCTCTACGGGACATACAAGGACACTGTACCACCATCACACTGAGAGACGCCCTGTTCATCCCATCCTACC